AGCCCTACTATGAAACTAATTTATAGTTTTCATATGAAGGCTATAGCCCAATTATAGCCCAAGAATATGGGGAAGGGGGAGAAGGAGGAAAGGGATGGGTGGAGGATGGGTGGAGGGAGGGTAATTGGTGGGACCACACCTATGGTCCGTCATACAAGGGCACATGTGAATCTTTCTAAATATAGAATACAGATGTCTTGACACAATAACTAGGAAAATGCCATGAAGGCTATGTTAACCAGTTTGGTGAAAGTGTTTCAAGTTGTATGTAAAACCAGCACACTGTACCCCATGATTGCATTAATGTACACAGCTATGATTTAGTTAAAAAAAAAAAAAAAGATGGCTACTATAAAAACAAACAACAAAAAACTACAAACAAACAGAAAACAACAAGTGTTTACAAAGATATGGAGAAATTGATAGGAATGTAAAATGTTGTACCCACTATGGAAAACAGAATGGTAGTTCCTTGAAAAATTAAAAATAGAATTACCACATGATTCAGCAATTCCACTTCTGGGTATATGCCCCAAAGAACCGAAAGCAGAGTCTTTTGTACACCCACATTCATAGCATTCCTCGCAATAGAAAAGGTGGAAGCAACCCAAGTGCCCACCTATAGACGAATGGATCAACAAGATGTGGTATATACATATATTAAAATATTATTCAATCTTAAAAAGGAAGGACATTCCTTTTCCATGCTACAAAACAGATGAAACTTCAGGGCATTATGCTAAGTGAAACAAGCCAGTGAAAAAAGAACTAATATTGTATGTGTCCACTTATATACAGTCCCAAGTACGTATCAAATTCATAGGCAGAAAGTAGAATGGTGATGCTAGGGACTGGGGGGGGGGATGAGGAGTTGTTTAGTGGGTGGAGAGTTTCAGTTTTGCAAGATGAAAAGAGTTCTAGTTCTAGAGATAGTTTACACAACAATGTGAATGGACTTCAAGCTACTGAACTGTGCATTTAACAATGGTTAAGATGGTAAATTTTATGTGTATTTGACCACGATAAAAACAACTTTTTAAAAAACCGATATATAACTCAGACGAATTGTAAGCATTTGAAATTAATGTCAGTTTTTAAAAATGTGTATCTAGGCTCCATGTTTTCTACATGTTTTCTACACATAGATGTAGAAACAGAAAGCTAATTTCATAGAAAAGACTACATATGTTCTAAATTGTTAGTGACTTCCAAAGCAGAATTAAAAAAAATAATTGTCTTTGAAGGAGAAATGTGGCTAGGCAGAGTGACACACACCTGTAATCCCAGCTATTTGGGAGGCTGAGATGGGAGGATTGCTTGAGACTATGAGTACAAGACCAGACTGGGCAACAGAGCAAGACCCTGTCTAAAAATAAGTAAGTAAATAAAAATTGTAAGAAAAAATATTTTTTAAAAAAGAAAGAGAAATGCAAAGAATTTGAATTATGAAAATAATTCAGGGGCAAAGGTGGGAAATCATTTTCCTGAGAGCCACAGACCCACAAGAGCAAATTAAAACAGATTAGCATCATGCAGACAAAAAATCAACCTACTTTTTTTTTTTAAGGGGAGCTATAAATGTTATTTTTTATTTTTAAATGAAGAATAAGAAACATAAGATTTTGTACAATGTGTGCGAATATATAAATACACACTTTCTCCAGTAACAACTAAAGATGGATAAAGAAAGAACAGCAGGGTGGCGGTTTTGAAGGCAGATGACATGGACACGGAGGGTGGGTAGGTTCTGAAGGGCCAGTGGAGCCTCTCCTTTATTCTTACCAATGTTCAGGATTCAGCCAGTACCCTGCCAGTACCCCAGCCCCAGATGATACAGGAAGGTCACAACGACCTCTGCCTTCAGGTATCAGCGGGAACATCTTATCTTTCCTGTCTTCCCTCAGATTCACACAAAGCATTTATCTTATAAAAACTTAGAAGCAAGAATGTTTCTCTCCTTTGCCCTCTCCTCCTTTCTAGGGCTAGGGACAAAGATAATTTCCCTCCTTTTCCTTGTCTTCCATGACCTATGGTTTCCTGGTCCCAGAATGGAAACCAGTGGCTTGATCAGTGGTTTGAAAAGTGATCTGGTTTTGTTGCAGCAGCTGTAATTACTTCAACATGCCCTGTGTTCAGAGTATTTGGCGACCTCTGGACAGGCTTTCCTGAGAGAATGGCAGCTGTTAGCCCTGTGGAGATCTCAAAGGGCTGTCCCAGAGCCCATTGGGTTGTTGCTCCCTGACATTGTGCTCTTCTTACTAGAAACTCAAGACCTATTGGCCCCTTTCTCACTTGAGTCAGAAAGATTAGAATGTTAAATACAAGAGGCCTTTCTGTTCTGCTAAATAAGCCTCATCCCCACTGGTCTTTCTTGTCATATACAAAACTGGATGACCTGAGGAAATCACAACAGGTAGTAACAACAGCACCCTCTTATGTTCATGGGATGTTTGCCTACACTATGTAAGAGCCATATATTTTTATTATCTCATATGATCTCACCTGAGAATGGCAGTTAGGGTCAGTGTTATTCCCATTTTATGAACAAAGTCTAGAAAGAGAGGCTCAACTAGGGCCAGAAAATTTCAGTAACTTACTCACTAAGAACAAAAACTCTGTCCTCTTGACTTGACTCCAAAGCTAACAGAAGGAGGAGCCTAAGAGAATGTTGCAGGATTTCCATTGCCCAAATTAGAAGTGAGTGACAATGTGCATCCGTAAACAGTTTTGTCTCCTTGAGAGACCACTCAGCCACTAGGCCTCAGGCCATTAAGCCTGAGGTTGCAACTATTTTCCTCAATCCATCCTGCATGAAACTGGGGGTAGGGTCTTTAGTCACTATGCTGAGTGTTAGGGGTCCTATTTGTGCTGAGGAGCCAGCACCCAAGATCTGAGCTGACCCTTTTCATTCTCAGCAGACCTATTGGTTCCTGAGAGGCATCTTTCCTTTTTCTCCTAATAGAAACTCCTATATGTTTCCTGGGAACTAGAAAAAAGTTGAATGGTTTATGGAGTATTTGGTGGCTTATTGTGTCTCGTAAAATACGGGTGCCAGGCTTAGCAAACAAAAATACAAAATGGCTAGTTGAATTTGAACTTTCGATAAACTATAAATAATTTTTAGCAGGAGTATGTCCAAAATATTGTATTTTATCTGATAATCTCATTCAAAAATAAATAAGAACAATAAACATTTGGGGTATATTTGGCTGCATTTATGAGCTGCCATGAAAAGCCATCTAATATTCTTTAGATTCTGTTCTCAGAGAATACCTCTTATTTTTAAAATATTTCTTTGTCATCTTAACCTAAATAAGGCAGTCTTCAGTTTCAGATAATTAAATTGAAATTGAAATTCTGATCTTCTTATGAATCTGGGTTCCGGCTTGTTAAAGATGGTCTCGTCTACATCTAAATTAGTTGAATATTGAATTAGGATAGTAAATTATCAAGAGAAATTTAATTTTGTTGTTGACTTGAAACACCTGAGTCCTTAAGCATGGCATTCTAAATTCATCTAAACTAAGATAAAAACTTAAAGCAGAAAAGGGAACAATGAAACTGCCTATTGATGAGATTAAGATGGACAGAGCTGTGTGCTGTTTACACAATTAAATGAGGTGTATGTGATTATTTCCATGGTAACAAGTTATATGGAGGTATTCAGAGTAAGGGAAGATCAAAGGTTCGGTATAATAGAAGGTTTGCATGTGTAGATTTAAAAAAATTGAACAAAATTATGGTATCTATAACAGAAGTTATGAAGGCTAACACATACCCAGAGAAGCATACCCCTTAATATAGCTCATCAAGTGAAATCTGCATTTTTCTTGAAGTGCAAGGTCAAGAAAAGTGCAGAAGGAACCTGGGATGCTAGAAGAAGCACCCATCGTTTGGAGAATGGCTTTAAAGCCTGGTATTGTGTGTCACGCTTAGTTGTCAACTTTGGCTCAATTGTACTCATCCTCACTGTATGATCCACATGAGCGGTCATATTTTATTGTTTTCTGCCAAGCTATCACCTTATACAGTGTTAGAACTTTACACTGGGGTCCATCTTAGAAAGGCATGGTGGATATTTATTAATCACAGCAGAACTCCATTTCTGGGAAGTGAATCAATGAATCACCGTAGCCATGGAGATGGAGTTCCATGATCGGGCTATCTCCAAGGCTACAGGGAATCATTGGTTCGTCAAGTCAACAAATACTCAGTGAGAGTCCTCTAGGTGAGAGCAATATTCTAAATACTGGGATTTATTTGTTGCTTAGGAAAAGAACTCTGAAACAAAAATTAAAATCCCTGCTCTAATGTGAAGATTCCCTTCTAGTGAGGGGAGACTGACCCTAAAGACCATTCTTTTGTTCATTCCACAGCAAATGTTTATTGAACCCTTGTGCACCAGGCACTGTTGTAGACACTGGGGTATATTAATAAGCAAAACACACAATAATCCCTGCCCTACGGAATTTACATCACATTATGGTAGTAGTTAGTCTGGTAATGTGATGCCTCCAAATTTATTCTTTTTGCTTAAGATTGTTTTGGGTATTCGGGTTTTTTTTGGTTCCCTATGAAGCACAGAATTTTTTTTTTTAGATCTATGAAATATGATGGTATTTTGATGGGGATTGAATTGAATCTATAAATCACTTTTGGCAGCATAGCCATTTTAACAATGTTGATTCTACAGATTCATGAGCATGATATGTTTTTCCACTTGCTGGCATCATCTGCCATTTCTTTTCTCAGTGATTTGTAGTTCTTCTTGTAGAGATCTTTCATCTCCCTGGTTATTCCTAAGTATTTTTTCTTCTTTGTAGCTATTATGAATGATATTGATTCCTTGATTAGATTCTCAGCTTGACTGTTACAGAAATGCTATTGGTTTGTGTACATTAATTTTGTAACCTGAGACTCTGTTGAATTTATTTATAAATTCCAGGAGTCTCTTGGTGGCTTCTGTGAGATTTTCTAGATATGCATACAAGGTCATATCATAAAAACTATGGTTAGCTGCCACAAAGTAGGTGGTAATGCCTTAACCCTACACTTGCTATCAGGCCTGAGGGCCTCTTCCCTTCTTGTGGAGGGAAATTCTAACCTCTCCTTTCATATAGCACAGGAGCTAGATAACAATCTTAACAAATTAGTATGTTATATATTAGAAGGTGATAAATAAAGCAGAGCAGGATAAGGGGAGACAAGATTTTCTTGGGGGCTGAAGCCTGTAATTTAAATGAAAAGGCCTCATTGGCAAGGGTATGTTTGAGTAAAGCCCCAGGGAAGGTGACTGAGGAGCCACCAGATAACCCGGGCCATGACCATCCTTTGGTTCAGGAATAAGCATGTAACCCATGTCAGGCCAACTACTGTCTCTTTCTGTGATTTTTTTGTTGAGACAGAGTTTCTCTCTATTGCCCAAGCTAGAGTGCCCTGGTGTCAGCCTAGCTCACTGCAACCTCAAACTCCTAGGCTCAAGTAATCTACCTGCCTCAGCCTCTCAAGTAGCTGGGACTACAGGTGCCCTCCATGATGCCCGGCTAATTTTTCTATTTTTAGTAGAGATAGGGTCTCACTCTTGTTCAGGCTGATCTTCAACTCCTGAGCTTAAGTAGTGCTCCCGCCTCAGTTTCTCAGAGTGCTAGGATTATAGGTATGAACCACTGTGCCCAGTCTATTTCTGTGATTTTTCAACAAAACCAAATCTACCATTTTTTCTCTTACTTCCAAAGCTGCAGGTGAGTAAGCCTGGGGTTGCTAACAGCTGTGCCCCTGCATCAGGAGACAGGGAGGATGGAGGAGAGAGGGAAAAGAACATAAGAAATGGAGCAGGTGTTCCTGGGGGCCAGACAGCCTGGTTAATCAGAGGCTGAGGCCCACTCCATGCCTGTGTCTTTGGCAGCTGAGTCTGTGAGCCAGTAGTTCCTCTCTTTTGCTTCAGCTAACTCCAGTTGGGCTTCTGTGACTTGTAAGCAAAGAGAGCAATCATGCATGAATGGCCAATCAGGAGCAGAGCACTTGCTAGAGATGTCACCTGGGAGCACCCATTCTCCAGGGCTATAGCCATAGGCCCTGCCCGGAGCAATGCCTCCTCGATGTTTAAATATATGGAGCTTGTCCATTATCAGGAGGAACAAAAAAGCATGTTGGGCTTCTGGCTTTTTATTTGGTCAAATGAAGATAGGAGAAAATAAATAAATGATCAGTGACCAAGCATTTTTACCATCATCGCATGCATGATGTGGGACATTGTCAAATCCCAAAGGTGGAGCACATAATTCAGGATAAAGGGTAGCATTGTGAGTGGAATAAAATAATGTTATGAAAGCCTTGTTTTACTTACCTTGTTTCACAAAGGACTGAGGAGAGTGCCTCAAAGACCAGCCCCAGTGCACCTGGAGAGTTTGGCTACAGTCCCAGGGTACAAGAAACTCAGTTCTTCTAGGAAGACATGGAGCCAAAAGGGCCAGGTTCCTCTGTCCAAACCCTGACGAGGTGAGTTGTTTTATAGACACTAAATCCTACGGGTGAAAGGGTTTTATGGATAGCAGCGAATCGCTTTGCCTTGGGGAACCATAGAATATTGCAATACCATCTATTTCTAGAAAGAGAGGAAACCTACTATCTTGATGAGCTGGGAAACTTTCTTTGGAGGGGAAACAGAGTCTCAAGCTGTCACCCTGAGTAGAGTGCTGTGGCGTCAAGTGATTCTTTTGTCTCAGCCTCCCAAGTAGCTGGGACTACAGGCACCCACCACAACACCCAGCTATTTTTTGGTTGTAGTTGTCATTGATCTTTGGTGGGTCTGGGCTGGATTTGAACCCTCCAGCTCCAGTGTATGTGGCTGGCACCTTAGCTGCTTGAGCTATAGGCACAGAGCCAGAATTATCATTTTAAGAGCTTGCTCCTCAGCCTGTTTGAGGGAGGAGTACAACCATTCACACTTGTCCTTGGACCTCATACAAACTCTAATAGCTCTGCTGTGTTACCTCCTTAGAATTTCCCTTTACTCCAGGACTGTTGTCTTTGTTGGTACTGCATTGTTCTAGCCTACATGTGAGCAAAGTTTTTCTGTAAAGGGCCAGATAGTAAATGTTTTAGAATGGTGGGCCTCTCAGTCTCAATTACAGCAACTCAGTTCTGCTGAAACTGTGCAAAAGGAGCCACAGAGGATGTATGTGTAAACAAATGGGGAGGCTGTGTTCCAATAAAACTTTCTTTACAAAAACAGAAGACCAAATTTGGCCCCCAGGCAGTAGTTTGCTGACCCTTGTACCGAGAACCTGTTGCAAAACATATAGTTAAACCCTATTCTTTTTGTTAAAGATATTGACATAGTTTGTTACCTTTACCCTGGGCTGGAGGAAGTGGGGACTGAGTTGTACTCGAACTAATATCCTGGAGTCTGGGCCTTCCCTGTATCTGATGCCACATTTATTCTCAGTAACATACGGATAGGAACCCAATCTTTTCAGTACAGTGGATTTATCTTGTGAACTTTAAATTATTTCTCAAATCAGGAAATAAATCCAGTGTTCTGGTTAGGGGTTGACTTTAAAACTCCCTCCCACCTGCAAAAAAATTCCTATGTTGAGTTTTTAATCAAAGCTGATTTGTCCTCAGTTCTACAGAAGGTGGCCTTATTTGGAAATAGGCTCATTGCATCTATAATTGCAGATGAAGTGATACTGGAGGAGGGTGGGCCCTAATCCAATAAGATCAGTGTTGTTACAGAAAGGGGAAATTTGGGTGCAGACACATTCAAACAGGAACAGTGTGTAAAGAATGGAGGGATGCTATCTAAAGCCAAGAAACTGCCAGACGCATGGAGAGAGGCCTGGAGCAGACTCAGTGCTGTTCTGGCACCTTCAGGGACAGCATGGCCCTACAGACATCTAGATTTTGGACTTACAGCCTCCAGAACTGCGAGACAATAAATTCCTGTGGTTTAAGCCACTCAGTATGTGGTACTATGTTATGGCAGCCCTAGCAGACATATCTAGTCGTGTTATGAAGCAGGCTGACCCAAGGTAGACCCACCATGGATCTTGCCTCTCTTACTGTGGACATGTCAGTAATACCATGATAGAAGTTTGAGCATCTTCTAAGTAAAGAGTGTGACCTGGGATTGTAGATTAAAGAAGAGTTTTTGATGTATTCCTGAGTTGACCCAACTTTATAAGCAGGTGTTGTTTAGACCCTGTTGCGAAGGAAGGCTTCATGCCTGAGTGCGAGAACAGAGGCCAGGAGACTAGGAAGGGCCTGCTGGCTACAGGGTAAGGCAGCCCCTAGGTCTCCCTGGGAAGGGGTTAGGGTTGGGCTGCAGGTCGGCGGGGCTTCTTCCTGGTATATTCTGGTCATCTGGCCTCCATCAGTTCCTCGGTCCTGCTGGCTCAGGCTTTCTTATTTAATCTGAAAGGTATTTTTTTTTTTTTTTTGCCTCATTTAAACATTTCTAACTTCCATTGATACCGAGATATGCAGAAGTAGTCCAAAATGTGATACAGTGAACTTAAATGTGTGTCATACAATCAAATTTATTTTCAAAATCGTACAGATTCTGGTCTCTCTCTGCTGTGAGCACATGTTCTTCATTCCAGCTTTCTGCCCAGACCATGGAAAGGGGAGACTTGCTCAGTAATTTCCTTGTCTTAAAACACTCTCCAGGGACACACACCTGGGGTATGTCCCTGGAGAGACAAGGTATTATTCACCCTTTCTTTAAGTCTCATTGGACAATTTCCTGCCAGCTACCAGAACTCCAAAGACCAACATCTATTCCAAAATAAGAACACCAAGGGCACTCTGGACAGGGAGTCAGTAGAACTGGTGCAGCATTGCCATTCTTCTGTGCCACCAGTCCCAAATGCACATTCAATACAGGCCGGCCATTGGCACCACTGTTCTGTAAGCACTGCAAAGACTGGGGTATAAACAGGTGTGCTCACCACCATTTATATCCCTGATTATAAAACAGATGCTCAGCATCCGTTCTTTTAGACATCACCTCAACTTAGCACAGCCCACCGGGATCTTCATAAATGGGTGTTTGGCCCCCAATTCACATTGTGGCTTCTGCCTTCTCTTGCTCTGTCAATTTTCACATCTCCCCTTCTTGGTTTCAACAGGCTCTCTAGCTCTGATGTCAGAGCATTTCAAGGGTTGATTGAGAAATAAGTAGAGCTGCCCGTTAGAGCTCTCCCAGCGATGCCCTTTCTGTGCCCCTGGGTCCCACCTTGGCCCTCTTCCCTCCCTAACATCCTGCCCCCACTCGGGCATCAGTAATGGTGCTTTATAATATGTTCTTATCCATCCTTCCCCTCACCTTCCATAGCCTCAATCCCATGACCCATTTCTGTGGACATCTGCTCTGTGGCAGCTGTGAGGGATGGGGGGGCATACGACAGGCAGAATGGGGGAGCACTGCTGCTGGCTTGGCAGTTGAACAGAGATGACAGCCAGGCCCTCTCTCTCTGTGTGTGATTTCACTTGTTCTCTGAACTGAAAGGTCTGGTAGGGTTTGTGTTACTCCCCAACAGAGTAGGAATCACTCCCTCCTGCTGTGTTTTAGATGTGCTTGTATCACTGTGCACGTCACAATTAGACTAATTACTCATTCTCATGCCTGTTGTCTTGTTAGGAGATGGTAAGGACTTCAGTTTTTCATTGCCTTTAACACCTTTAGTGGGCTTTGTGCCTGCGAGGTGAAAACTAGAACAATGGGATGTTAAATCTCTGAGAATATCTGATACAACCTGTTCCTGTCCTACTAGGAAACTGAGGCCCAGACAGTTGAGTCAGTGGCAAATCCCACTCCAGAACGTAAATCTTCTATGCTTGCTAAGCAGGGTAAGGGAGAGTCAGTGGGCTCGGCAATCGCGTTCATGCTCAAAGCCTGGCTCTTCTCTTGATAGCTGTACAAGGTTGGGTAAGTGACATCTTCTAAACTCTGTTTTCTCATCTGTAAAAAGGGCACACCGTGGCGGTAGATACTTCAAAACATTGTAAAGAATAAATGAAATACTACCTATAAAATGTTTGTCATCTTAGTGAGTTGGTAGCTCAATCAGTCCTTCCCTGTCCTGTATCTAACAACTGCCCCACGAATAGTGACAAGAGT